TTAGATTGAAACTAAAGAACATATAGATTATAAATAAGGAAAGTGCACATGAAGACACATATGAATCGATCGAGTGTACACTCATCATATCTTTTACAAGTTTATACGCATTTGCATCTCATTCCCAACTAGAGTATATTTTTTCTTGATTCAATAAGTAGAATTTTGACACGCTGCAATAACCTTGTTTAATCATTACATTAATTTATAAAATATAACTATGTGCAATTTCAATCTTTTCAACTAATTATTGTTAATTTGTGTTTAGATGGTTAAATACCAATATAAGTAACCGAGAATAAAGTATTGGATACTTGTTAAAACGATGAAGTATATATAATAATTCCAGCATGCAAGACTCATTCATACCATATGATTGATTCTTGTACAATAGCTCACTGGAAAACCAAAAGAAAATGTTTTAACTGAAATCAGTGCTAAAACAGCAAGTTCACGTACATATTCACATATATAGTTGACTTTTATTTTATAATAGAAACCTTTTCACTTTCTTTTTGTTTAAGGATAAACGAACTTGTATACGAAGCTTCTTTTGATGAGTTGAAGGAATTGATTAGCGGAGAAGAAAAAAAATCATTACTTATCAACACAAAAAAAAACTCGATATTAATTTGTGTCAACTGTAATTATTTGCCTTGTCTATATTGGTCATGGTCGAAATGAATTGTTACTAAACATGAACACTATATATTTGACATTGCGTAATTCATTCGACTAATGGTAGTTTGGTAGTTAATGAGTAGTATATAGTATTTTGTTGGTTATTGCCAGAAATTTCGTGGTATAAGATAATTTGTATATGACCAGTGTAACTTTTACTAAATGGAGTTCGATAATGGATCCTCCTATTAAAAAGGAGACTTGGTTATTAAAAATTAGTGATTTGGTTCTTTCCGTATTACGGCCACATGCATGTAATATCCTACGAAATCCTTTATACATTAATTGACGAGAAGCATTATAAAAAATAGGCATGCTCGAGTAAAATTATGGTAATTCGCATTTGGTATAAAATTTTACATTTATTCCGTAGTTTGGTTAGAGTAGTTATGATTTATGTACCATGTTACATTCCATCACCTACTAGTTTTGTAGGTGATAAAATGCACTTACTTCTCTTGATGTTTATATGTTATAGGGACAATAGAAGCCTTTTGGTAGAGAAAAGAGAGAGAGAGAGAGAGAGAGAGAGAGACTATTATTGAATGGAATATTGCAAAAAGTTAGTACCCTAATTGATTTAAGGGAGCGTACTATTTGCTTCATTGAAAATGATTCATTGCCATCCAAAATATTGTTTTGATATCTTCTGCTCTAACTTGGATATATGTTAGCCAAAAACAATAAAAACATCTCGATCACGTGTAAAGATCTTGAAAAAGATATGTCTCTCTATTTTTTAATGTCTATGAAAGGACGTATCAAGTTTCTCTTCTATTTCGCATTCGGTAATACATTAATATTAAGAAGACATTTGCCCAAGTTGCTAATTTTTTTTTTCCCTGATGAATATTCAATTTATTTATGATGGAAAGAAAATGCATGTAAGCAATAGTACTCTTCCCACAAATGAAAACAAAAACTCGAACAATCAATTTACCTGCTATGCGCTAGGGCCAAGCTACTATCTAGGCACTAGGTCCAATTTATTCAGAATCAACTTCGACATGGATTCTGGTCGGATTCGTTCGACCCACGGATTCCACAATTTGGTTTTGAGAAACCATGTTCGGTCATTTGCATTCAAAGTTATTTAAATCACGAAAACATATTGGTTGACATATATAGCATGGTCCCATATAGCATTAGCATGCATATGCATACGGAAATTTCATGCTAACACTTTTGAACTAGAGTTCTATATGTTTTATCTTTTTGGTTGGGCTGTATTGAATTTACCTTACCACTCTCTTTTAGTCTTTTTCAATTCAAATAGTAAGAATCATATCTATCAATTGTGACTTTAGCTAAATATGTGGATTGTTTTCACTATATTTGATACATATTCAGGTTGAAGAATGCGACATAAGACACTATTTAAAATTTTCATTTTTATTAAAAAACAATGGGAAAAAAAAAAACTAGTTTTCCGACACTAAACATGCGAATTACTGAAACATGGATAGGTCCACCATTGTATATCTGCATTTTTGCCATTTGACAAGCTCGGTCTCTCTTTTTTCCTTGTTCATAAATGATTTTATTTTGTTCGCTTTTTTAAATGCATCTTTCTATCACTTTTTTCTTTTGGTTGCAAAAATGTCGTTTTCTCTCCTCCCTCCTTTTCCGGGATTTAACTTATCACAATGTAATGAAATTGCATGTTCCTCTCTCGCCATTGGCAAGTTCCATTGTAATGTCTCCATCGATAGGTCAAACAATTCAAAAGAACCAAGACCTTTTCTCTTTTCCACTCACATTTAATCTAGGGACCCTTTAATCTATTCATTTTCTCAGCGATAATGTAAAAAAAAGTATAGCTACTAAGTACTACTAACGGTAAAATCTAACTGTGTAGAGACTTTGTTGGTTCTTTAATCACCAATCGGACGCAAACGAGTATGAAGTGTTGTGATTACATGTGTTTAAATCAATCATAAAAAACGTTTCCACACCGTTTCTAATTATAAGCGGTATTTAGCCGTCCAAGAGCTGTTTTCGCGTGACTATGCATGAAACCCACTTAATTAAGTAGCCTCTAACTAATATTTAATAAGTTATATAAGGTCATGAAATAAAATCTTATAACGTATCTAACAACTCACATGATCTACCATGTCACATTTTTTATCAACCATATATTAACCACCTAAGCACTAACACTACTCTTTGATCAAACTTATTTTCAGCATATAATCCAAAAGATACCAAGTGGCATATTGGCATATCTACGCAATGTGGTGCCAAAAATGCTTATCATCAACTTAATTATAGTTCAGATATTGTCTCCGTATCTTATTTTTATATCTGTATTCAACAATATGTATTATGTCGATTTATATTTTGATGATGATGGACTGTATGTCATGATGGTGATGATAGATTTGTAACCTTTTATCGTTGCGATAAGAGATACATCGTTTTTATTGTGAGGTAATACGATAAAATAAAGCGGTACAAGAACATAACAGTATAACTGTTTTTTACTAATCAAATTTATTGTGTTTAACTTAATTGATACAATAGAAAAAGCAATTTTCCTTGCTGCATTAATTGATAATCTACTAACGGTTTAAGATATCATTTTTAATTTTTGAGATTTTTATTTAAATATAAACATTAAGGATCTCTTTTTCTCAACATGAAAAAAACACAATAATATTTTTTTGATAGCAAACGCAGAAATTTATGAAAATTTTTTGCCTGCATTCACATTTAAAACTTACAGAGGACAACAACAAATTATTTCTGAAATACATCAGTAATACTTAGTTAATTTTTTTTTTTACATAAGAAATCCAATATAAAGAAGTACTTTTGAAAACAATAATTTACATAATATTGTTTACAGTAGAAAATACAAAAAAAATTATTATCAAATTTTTATTAGGAAAATACATGATCATTGATTAATTTACCTTCCAGTTCCACGCGATCAAAGTAACAAAACATTAACGCTGGAATGACGTGAGGATGAGTCAGCAGACAAGGAGTGAGATCGAATCGGGTCAAGATTATCTGGTTGGGACCCGTCACATGCACATGGACCCTCTACCTACCTAATCCAGATTAATAATCTTGATTCTCTGTTTAAATTACCTTAAAACTTGAACACATTATTATGATTATTGAAATTAATAATTAATCTCGGATCTTTGGTTCCGACCATACTCACGACACAATGCTTTTGTTTCTCCAATTTTGATCTTCTTTGAGATTAGATTCCCTCTCCATTGTCTTTTCTTGTTAATCAGTTAGGGTTCCTCTTCTCTCATTATTTTTTGGTAAATAAAACCAAAAAACTTAATGGTGTGTTAGAAACTTTTAGAAAGGAAAAACAGGAGTAACAACAATAGAAAAAACATTAATTAAGAAGTCAAAATCTCTAATTCGAGCCTATCTATTAATGGGTCCAAGGAAAGCCTCTTTGGCCCAATTCAAAAAACTAGTAGTTGATCTTTGTAGTGGTATCCATAAGTTAACGTGGTATCAGCAGCGTTCAAGGGGAAATAATCCTCATTAAACAGACAGAAGATGATGTAAAAAGCCATCTGGGAGGAGTTTAGAATGTGGTTTCATGCAGTTCATCTTTTTCGGTCTTCTGGTGGTGTTGAAACCAACAAAGGCAATGTCCACAGAACAAACCCATCTTTCAAGGTTGTTAAGCTGCGTTTAACAAAACATAAGGGTTGTCTTTGTTTTTGTTCTTTGTAATACGTTGAAAACAAACCGAACTTAGTCATCGTATCTTTAGGATATCTTTTGGACTGTTAGTTTTGGTCCCTCATACAAAAATTGTGGTATTTTTGTCTTATGCCATCTAAGATTAAATCGATAACGATATATTTACATGTGTATAAATTTTTATATTTCTCTGAGAGGAACTATGAATTGATGTGGTGATCTGATGAAAAATTAGAGAATGTCATATTCCAAGAAAATTCTATATAAGATTAGGTCAAGAAAAATATCATATAGTAATAGAATTAGTTTAGAAGACCTATTAGACAACATTATCTAATTTGAATTATGCATTATACTTGATAACAAATGATAATAGTCGGTCACAAATATTACCCAAACACGATTACAAATATACAAACATCACAAAACTTAACTAAAAACGTGAAAAACTGAAATAAATAAATATAAGCTCACAAAGCCAATTAGAACGTGCCACGTTATCAATCTGGTAAATAAACACGACGTGGCAAGATATCATTGGATAAGTTACGCAAGTGCCTAACAATTGATTTTCACATGATTAGAAAAAAAACTCTGGAACGTTCTAGCTTCTGTGTTCGAGTCGGCCTCTATCTCTCTCAACGTTCTTATTTGATTTAGAAACTCAAATCTATATCGGATCTTGAATCTTGAATCTTGAATCAGACTCAGAACCTTGGATCTTGGAAAATCGACGAACATGTCTTCTCCTGGCGAGTGAGTTCTCCGTTTCCCTCTATTGAACTTAGCTTCGATTCGATTTTTGATCGACTGATTCTTAGCTGATTAGTGGTGTTGATGCCCATAATTTCGCGTCCTTAGGTTAATAAATTTCATGATTCAGTTGATTTCGTTTAGGCTACGATAGTCAAAAAGGTTTCTTTTAGTAGCAGTTAAATGTTATGTCTTTCTCTTGTGACAAAGCTACATACTTTAGCTGATCTTGATGGAATATATATGCTTTTGATTTGACAATATCCGTCAAATTGTTTCTTAAATCGTTTGTTATTTGGTAATTTTGATTGCAGATACTATAACTCACTTCCACCAATAACCAAGGCTTATGGTACTCTGTGCCTTTTCACTACAATAGCCAATCAGCTGGGCGTAGTTGCTCCTGTCCACATTGCTTTTATTCCTCAACTTGTACTTAAGCAGTTCCAGGTAAAAGAGATCATTCTTTTTAAGATTTTCCTTTTTCACAATACTCTGTCATTCTAAGTTCCTGATTCATTCTGCAATTTGATCTGTTTGGTGTTTGCAGATCTGGAGGCTGATATCAAACTTCTTTTTCCTCGGTGGTTTCTCTATCAATTTCGGAATACGTCTTTTGATGATGTGAGTACTACACATATATATATGAAGAAAGCTGATTTCGCTTTCTTTATCGTAACTTACTCTCTAAAATGATTCCGCAGAGCAAGATATGGAGTTCAACTCGAGAAAGGGCCATTTGAAAGGCGGACGGCAGACTTTTTGTGGATGATGATCTTTGGATCCTTTACTCTCTTGGTATGTAAAGCCCTCCCTATAATTCCTTTCTAACTGATCATTGTTTATTGGTTCTTTGAGAAGCCTAGTGTAGTATGTGGTATGCTACAAAGTAGATAATAGTTGGTACATAACTCTTAAGATAAACTAAAACCGAGATAATTAGAAGCTCTCAAAGAATTGAATAAGGATTGAATTTTTAATAAAGCGAGACAAGCTTTTGGAAGTATCCATACTAGTGAATCTGTGTGATAAAACAGTTACCTTATTCAAATTTCAGGTATTATCAGTCATACCGTTTTTCTGGACGCCTTTTCTTGGAGTTTCTCTTGTGTTCATGCTTCTATATCTCTGGAGCCGGGAATTTCCAAATGCCAACATCAGCCTATACGGTCTTGTCACTCTCAAGGTACTGAATGTGTTTCTTTTGTAAGCTCATCCAAGCATCAAACTCACTCTTTAGTATGTGATGTTAATTGTGAAAGTTGTAAAAATTCCACAGGCTTTTTACCTCCCATGGGCAATGCTAGCACTCGATGTTATCTTTGGTTCTCCAATCATGCCAGATCTTCTTGGCATCATAGCCGGACATCTATACTACTTCCTAACAGTTCTCCATCCTCTTGCTACCGGAAAAAACTACCTGAAAACCCCAAAATGGGTGTATCCTTGATTCTCGATTATTTCCAAATGATTGCTTCTCTGGCTTCGCAGTTTTTGTTTTGCTGTTATCCCTTAACATTCTCAACAGTAATAAAATCGTAGGAAGATGGCGAATTGGAGCTCCGGTAGCAAGTGTTCGACAAGCAGGTGGTGTAGGAGCAGCAGGACCCGGTGCTGGAGGGGGAGTAGGAGGAGGAGGAGCTTATTCAAGCGCTCGTGCCCCACCAGAGAGTTCAAACACAGCATTCAGAGGTCGATCATATCGTCTCACCGACTGAAATAGAAATTTTCTTGGGTTTCGTTGTTTTCATAATCCTAAATGTTTTTCAAACAATGCCACTAACAAGTCCCAGGTAGCTTTGTGTTCTCGAGCAGTACAGTTTTTGAATATATGACTTTGTAGGAAGAATTCTTTGAGGTTTTAGTACAATGTTGTTTTCAAATCCTTTGAGCTGTTTTACGTATATAATCAATCTCCTGAAGAAAGTTGGTCTTCGTCATCCTTCACAGAGAGAACGCTTTAACAAACGAATAACACTAAACGGCAGCGTTTACTTAAATTGGCAGAAAAACTGTGACAAAACCATATGAAATTAGTGACATAAGAGTTTGGTCGTAACAAGTTTGTATATCTATTTTACCAAAAAAAAAAAAAGTTTGAATATCTAGATAAATTATAAAATTCGTGTCTAAAGAGTTTGGTCGTAACAAGTTTCAATTTTAGGACATAATTATTATTGGTTGACAATTTTTTTTATTATTACTCCATTGATTACGACTTTACGAGTAATAATCATTCCTTCCTTTAGAAATTCCGTTGGTGATCGTAAATAGGGGAAATTAGGAAAAGGAAGAAAGAAGACGTGGCAATTAGGGAAATAATGATGAAGCTATAACAAAGGCGAAAGAGCAGCACTAATTGAAAATCAATCCTTGTTATTTTGGAAAACAGAAAAAACGATGTAGGGTTGAGAATTTGTCTATGTGATCCAACGGTTTAAAATGATTCTTGTTCATTCCTCTCCTATTTATCTGAAGGACAAAGTCCCCACGCTGCACATAACGCATAGATCATAAACAAAGAAGAAGAAGAATAAGAAAAGAAGAAGAAGGAGAAGATGTCGTGGCAAACTTATGTTGATGAACATTTGATGTGTGATGTTGGCGATGGTCAAGGACATCACCTTACCGCTGCTGCTATCGTTGGTCATGATGGTAGCGTCTGGGCTCAGAGCTCCAACTTCCCTCAGGTATTTGATTTCATTGTCATTCATTGTCTTTGATCTCAATGTGATTTAGATCATGGTAGTGTTTGATTACAATGTGATTTAGATCATGCATCATGGATCATGTTTTGATTATATTCTATCAATGTTTGTAATGGGATATCTGGTGTATTTTGTGTTTGTGTTTCTCTTTATCTGTTTTGCGGATCGATAGATTTGAGGTATCATTTTGAAATATACATATGTTTTGATACCAAACCAAGCATGTTTCGTTATCAAGCTATTTCAAAGTCATAATTGTCCAAAGCTTTTAATAGTTATTATAAATACGTTTTAAACAAATGATAAATGTTGTCTCATATGAATTATAATCGACTAATTAGTGATTTGGTTCTTTGATAGTTCAAGGGACAAGAGTTCAGTGATATTATGAAAGATTTCGATGAACCGGGTCACTTGGCACCAACAGGGTTATTCCTAGCAGGAGCTAAGTACATGGTTATCCAAGGCGAGCCCGGTGCTGTAATCCGTGGCAAGAAGGTATATATAACTATTCATTAGGTTTATGATAAGATATGAGATGTTGATGTTGGATGCATACATGCAAGCATACGATCAACATTAATGCACCGGATCTCATCAAAACTCTATGCATACACACGTTCTAAGTATTTGTTGGTTTGATTGGATAGGGAGCGGGAGGCATAACAATAAAGAAAACAGGACAGTCATGTGTGTTTGGGATCTACGAAGAGCCAGTGACACCAGGACAGTGCAACATGGTCGTCGAAAGGTTGGGTGATTACCTCCTCGAACAGGGTCTCTAGAATCAATTCTTACAATGTTCCACCTTCTACATTTTTTATAAGGCCATTGTTTCTCTTATTTTTTTTCTTTGGGTGATTTGCATCTTTTTTCTACTTAATATTTATAAGTTTGGGCTAATGGACCTTCCTGGTTTATCCCCATAGCAAAATTTTAAGAAAGCTAAAGCCTACGGCTTTTACTCTGTTTGCCTTGGTTTCTTATTTATACGCCTGTTTTGGTTGTTTTCTCTTTGCTTTTTCGACAATTGCATTCAGTCTACTACATTAATATTAACGTATCGAGAGTGGCAATCTAATTACTATAATCTATAGAAAATCGTATGTAGTGTAGAATTCTGAAATTTTTAACGCAATCTATATAAAATTGTATGTAGTGTAGACTGTAGAATCATTAATCTCACAATACTAAAAACACTTTCAACATTTACACAAGCACTTAACACATGTTATCAACAACATTCATAGTATTATTTACAACAGAAAAAAAGCTGATCCGCACCGAATCTTTTTGAGCGATTTCATTCTTTTTTTTTTGTCAACAGCTTAAATAAAATAGATGCTCAAAAGAGCCATTCCTGGGGAATGTTGTTTACATAAGTGATATGATGCGGTTCGGTACGAATTTTTCGTGCCAAATTATCCGCTTTTACATTTGCGCTACGCGGAATTAAAGATAAAGAAAAATTAGAGAATTCTTCCTTGTCACTCTTCAAATCTTCCAAATACACTGAGAAGGCCGGCCATTCGGTTGGGGAAGACACCATCTTCACCAAATCTGAACAGTCTGTAAAGAAAGCTACATCTTGATTTCATTCATATGAAGAAAAAAAAGGAGAAAAAAACTTGAGAACGAAAAGTGGTAACAGGCAGAATTAAGTTTATTTTGTCCACATGATGGTGGGCTGGTGGCTTGGCGGGCCCAGGGTGGTTGGGTGCAACTCCCTCCTCTCCATGGTTCGATTCCTCCCTCCTGCTGTTATCAACATTATTGTGGGAAGTCTGTCAGTTGGGCTTTGGTCCAATTGGTTTATCTGGTAGTCAGAAATGCAGGCGGCCTGACTACCCCCTGGCACTTAGTCGGAAGGCATTCCAAACTCGGGATAGGCAGAGTGGTAGCCCGAAGGGCCTAGCCGTTAACACGGTGGACCAGTCCACTATATAGCACCTCGGTGCGTTCCTACCGGGGCCGACCGGATAGCCGATAGGGTTTATCAAAAAAAAAAAAAAAAAAAAAAAAACTTGAGAACGAAAAGTGGTAACAGGCAGAATTCATTCATCAACTTTAATCTTTAATAGGAAAGTAATAATAGTACAATTATGTCGGAAAATCATTCACATCCCATCTGTCTTTATTATGTTCTAATCTAATTAACAGCTCATCGAGAAATCGAATCTCAAATCTTTTTTTTCCTCGTATATAACGAAATTTTTATTATCTCTGATTATTCACTTTGAATCAATACGATGCACACATACATCTCTTAAGAGTACTACTAAAAATAAGTGACTGTTTCTCTGTTTTCTTCAATATCACAAAATGTTTTTTTTTTGGGAATATAAAAAGATAATATAAAACTTTCTTTCTAATTTTCGGGTAATAATTAAGAAACATTTATTGAAAATGACATTAGAAAAGGAGAACATTAATTGTAAAGGGTGGACCTAAATAATTGGAATATTTTTGTGTATGGCACACAATGCAAGAGCATATCCACCCTGTAAACAAATTATGGCCAAACTTCGATCTCTATACTTTGATTTTTGGGAATTAAAATCTCTAGTATTGTTTTCTTTTGCTAAAAAAAATCTCTAGTATTGTTTATTTATGTAAACTTGATTTGTTCTAATAAAATCTGAAACGTTTTCACTAGTTAAAAATGTCACTGCACATTTATTTAGCAATTTTTAAATATATACTACTCGTTACTCGTTAGTATAATTTAACTTCATAAGAATCGTTATTTTGGTGTTTCTTTAGTTGTCTTTATCAACATGTAAAATAATAAATAAATACAATATGTAATGGAATTTTCTTCCAATAGAAATTAAATTAGAAAAAGCCTAAATCGTGATAGTAATTAAAGCTCCAAGGTTTTCCAAGTCTACAAACCAAAGCACGCAAGAGAAGAAGAAGAAGCATCCAGAAGCAGCAGAGAGAGAAGAAGAAGAAGAAGAAACAATCTCGCCGGAGAAGAAGAAGAAAGATGTCGTGGCAATCGTACGTCGATGACCATCTCATGTGCGAGGTCGAAGGTAACCACCTCAAACACGCCGCCATCCTCGGCCAAGACGGCAGTGTCTGGGCTCAGAGCTCTCATTTCCCTCAGGTTTTTCCGATCCTCTGTTTCAATTAAGTTCATCGATCTGATTCGATCGTTTGATTTTAGGGTTTTGTCCTTGTGATCCGATCTGAAGAAACTTGGATCTGATTTTGATTTGCTAACCTTTGACTTGTTCTCTCTGAAATCTCACTGATTGAATCGAGTTTGATTCTGAGATTTTCATGGTTTCAGTAGTCAAATCGTGTTTATAGGTGTTTTCACAGAATCTTATCTTCTTTCAATTCATCAGTAAGATTATAAAACTTTTCACCAAATTCTTCAAAATTTGGGAATTTTTTACTTGAATATGAGATCTTAGGGTCATTGCATATGAATTGTTGGATGATTTTCCTTTGCTCAGTAAAGGATTTGTTGTATTGGTTGAAGCTAATTGCCTTTGTTGTTGTTTCTTGTTCATGTTTTAGTTGAAGCCTGAAGAGATAGTAGGAATCAACAAAGACTTCGAAGAAGCCGGACATCTTGCCCCAACCGGGCTATTTCTTGGCGGTGAAAAGTACATGGTTGTCCAAGGTGAGGCTGGAGCCGTCATCCGAGGGAAAAAGGTATCATTTTTCAATAGAAACCGAATTCGACAAGACTTTTTTTTGTGTGTGAGATTGATTGAGAAAACGAATCAAAAAAGGATCAGTCTTTTTAAGTTCATGCTTACTTCTTGCAGGGACCTGGTGGAGTTACTATCAAGAAGACTAATCAAGCTCTAGTCTTTGGCATCTATGATGAACCGATGACTGGAGGGCAATGTAACTTGGTCGTCGAGAGGCTTGGCGATTACCTTATCGAGTCTGGTCTCTAAGTTCACATAAAGTGCTTGAAACCAATCTCATTTTTCAGGTTCTTCTTCACTAGAGAAGCACTCTTCTGCCATGTATTGTGATTTGATTGTTGTTGTGCATCAAACAAAGTTATACTCTTAAAAAGAACTAAGAAACAATCATATTTGTTATGGTTTTGATTCCCTCCTATGATGGCTTTCATGTTTTTCTCTTCCTTGTACTACTGTATTTCATAATGTATCTCTGGTTTTCGATTTGAGTAATGAAATAATTACGGTTTGGTATAAAAAAAAATTGAGTTTGTGAAGTGGTCTTGATCATTTGTTTTCAATCAGCTCATAAAATTCGACCAGGTCCAGGTTCTTTTAGTTTGTGACTCGAACCAAACAAATACATCACCAAGCTCGACATTTTGGTTAAGTGATGAAAGAAATTACCGGTTCAACAGTTCGGCTAAATTCTAATTTAGTTCACTCACTACTACTCAAAACTTCAGACAGAAGAAGGCAACAGAGCATTCATGTACACTTCACCAAATACTCAGACAAACTATAAAACACGGCAACAAAACAGAGACTGCAACGGAAATCACCATCTGTCTGAATGCTTCATTGGTTGACGAAGGCGAAGCCAAGGGAGAATCAATGGCAGTTATATTTCCAGTGATGTTACCCGCCATTGTTCTGTTGAATCTGCAAAAGTAACAACAACATCAGCAAAAACGATTTGTTTTTTCAGTTGCATAGTCGCAAGATTGAGTAAACCGAGAGAGAACTCACCCGTCAGTAGCCGGAGCAATCATGTACAAACAGTTACCATAACCTGCAATTTAGAGAGCTCAAATGAGACTACTATGGTTACACATTTACTCTAAAGATGTGTTTTGGAAAGTGTGTATATGCAAATACTTACTTGGGTCCTTGTCGACTTCAACGCTCGCTCCATTAAAGCTGCAATCTATCCTGCTTGCTCCGCTCTGTTGGTAATAAGTGTTGAACGCATACGATGCGTGTGAGAGAACAGTGTCTGGTTCAAAGCAAGGTTGGTCTGGTTGAACAGCAGAACAATCAACATTTCCAGGACCACAAGCCCAGTCCAACGCGGTCTGCAGTTCCGTCACTGAAGCTTGTGAAGAAGCAATACACCATTTCTTGCTTCCTCCCCCTCCTCCTCCTCCTCCTCCAATGATTACGGTCGAGTTACCGCTAATTGGACTTGAACTTGGACTTGGACTGGTACCCGTGGTTGAATTTGTTGGAGAAACTGGGGTAGTGTTTTCCCCAGTAAAGTCTAAAGCGTAAACATTTGTTCCGTTCGCGTAGAACATTCCCCAGTTTCTCTCAGATTCTATCCCGGGCTTCCGGTTCTCATTGAACAACGAGAATAAGTACACATCTATCTCCTCCCCAGGTTTTGCAGGAGTACCTAACCAAAAGAAAACAAATCAGTTCATAAAATGTTTCAATTTATCTTTGTAACTAAAGATCATAACTTTGGATCATAAAAAGATTACCTGGATCGCCAATGACATGGCGGATGAGGTTGGTATTGTAAGCCAGAGCGTTATCAGGAGTTGCAGCCGTCTCTTTAGGTGAGCCTTTACTCGGCCACCCCGACTCAGTGACCATAACCTTAACGGTCTTAAAGTTCATAGCCGTCAAGGCGAAATAGATAGCGTCAAGCTGAGCATCAAACATGTTGGAGTAAAGCAAACCCGTTGCAGGGTCAACAACCTGCGAAGATGACTCGAATAGTGCATACTCCAACGGAACCTTTTCAGTGGAATCTCTGTAAGCGTAATAGGGATACAAGTCAATCATAAAGGGAGACTCATTCTCAACCAAGAACTCGAGCATTGGTTTCAAGAACGCTGAATGCTTCTTGCTGAAAGAAGCCGATGAAGGCGGGAAGGAGCGAGACAAGATAGCAAGGGAATGTGAGCTGGAGATCTTGATCTTTTTATCCAAACCAGACTTCTTCAGAGCGGTGTGAATGTTTCGCATCGCGGGTAAGACTAGACCAGTGGCATTGTCTGGTGCTTCAGTTACTTCAAGACCGACTGAAATCGAAGTGATTTTGGTAGCTGGATAATAAGGAAGGATGTTGTTGCTAAGCCAAGTATCTACATTGGATTGAAACTGAGCAAATGCAAGTAGATCAGCGTTAGGAACACCAATCATAAGCTCGATGCCAGTGTTTGCAAAAGCTTTGAGAACATCAATGTTGGCGTCATAGATTCGAACAAATTTGATGTTGAGATGTTGGATTAGCTCAGAGACTCTGTTAGGACTCGGAAGATTATCAGCATTTCTTCCATAACATATCCCAATCTTACTTGCCTTACCATAATCTGCAACAAATTTCATAAAGACATTGAGATTTCTTACAAATCCACAAAACAAGTCTCAAAAATGGCTGTTTTTGAATCTCAAATGTCGATTACAAACACCTAAAGTAGTTCAAAGCTAACAGATTCAAGATTTTCAGACACGAACTACAGTGAAACAGAGATTAAACCCAGAACACAAAGTAAAGCAGCTAACTTTAACATCAAGAAGACAAATTTAAGTAATTGCAGACCCAAAGATAAAAATGGAAGATTCCCAAAAGAGGATTTGAGAGTAAAGACATACCTAAAAAGGCAAGAATGGAGACACAAATGCAGAAGATTAGCTTCAGTCTTGTACCCATTTTCATTATCTCTGTCTTTCACAAGCTTTAAACTTCACTCAAGTGTTTCTTCTATTGACTTAAACCCAGAAATGAAACGTCTCACTCTCAAGAACACTTAAGTAGGAACCACCGACTTTATAGTGACGCAAGAGAGATTTAGAGATAGAGAGAAGTCACTGAAGGTGAACGTTGTGTGCTTTCTATATCAGAGTTCGGATTCCAGCTGAATATATAAAATTGGGTTTATAGAAACGTCTCGATTCCGTGAATTAAGCAAGCATGTTTGCTCTCTATATCTCTCTCTTTGACTGTTGTAGTAGATTTTTTACTGCTTCGAGGAAAAAAAAAAAAAAACTCTTTTTTGATTTATGATGAAATAAAAAATAAAAATGAAAATAATATTAAAAAGCGTAAATGGGTTCCAGTGAAAAGAGTACTACAAGACAGACCACAGTGGTCTGTGTTTTTTTTTGTTTTTATTTAACGGTCCAATCTCCACTCTCAATGCAATTTCTGTATTTACCAAAGTAATTTTCAATTATGGAATTTTACTATTTGAAGATAAATGCAGAAAGAACCATTTGAAAATTGTAGATCCGATATGTTGTTTTGGAATTTTAGATTGGAAGCATTGGTTATTTTGGGTCTGACTAGTTGATCAGAGTTTTAAGCGGTGTGGTAAGTGGTTGATGAGAATATGTGGAGCATTAAGGCCATAATATCAAGATGATTTATATTCCTTGTATTGACTGAAGTTGGAACAATGATAAGATTTTGAGCCAAAAATATTATGAAGATGTATTTCATGGATTGATCTAAGAGATAGGTCATCATGACAAAGAAATTATTCAAAAATTTATTAAGGATGATGATGTCTACAAAAAAAAGTTCCTAGATTTGAGTGGGCCATTTCGGAGGCCAATTGGGTTTCTTCTCTTATTTTTCTTTAGGCATTAACTACAGTGTATCTGTTTAACCAGAAAAAAAAAAAAAAACTGCAATGAATCTTTTTGGCAGAAACAATGGTGGATTTCTCTTTGATTCTTTTAATTTTGACTTAACAAAAGCTAGAATAAGTAATTTCTATTTCTGTTTAAGTGACAAAAATGAAAGTCAAACCGTCATTTATAATTGAATAACTTTGTTTTTTTTTTTCTATAGAACGAAATAGAAATATTTGCAACCAACTTTTTTTTTTGTTCTACCAACTTAGCGATGAACATGACGAATATTAGACTAATCGACAATGTCAACTAACAATAGAAACTCTACAAGTACTTATAATAAGAACTTTGATACCATTGTTTTCAGAGCCGTGCCTATTTGGTAGAAATAGAAACACTCGCCTACGGCATTCAATTTTTCATAAAATTTACAGGGGCATATTTATTACATATTTAATGTTATGTTGTTTATATGAAAGATGCTTGTTACGTTTTTTGGTTCTTGACCTTAATAGCCCATCATTAACTCAAAATTAATCCATTTTTCTTCTTAAAATTTAGATCAGTTTATGTTTGTTTTTTCTCATGATGAGCTTGTTTCTTTGCCCACTACATTAATTCTTCTCTTTTGTGTCTTTACCAACTTCTTTTTTAATCCAATTTTATCAAAGCTAATTATGTGTATACATGTTTAAAATCTGAAAATACATATTTCTATATTGAATATCCTCATTTTATATATCGTTTAAATATATTTTTATCAATCACAAAATAATTTATAGTTTGATTTGTACTGTTAACAATTGATCATGCAGTTACTTATAATTATGTTATTTAAAATATTAAACTTTTATTTCGCCTATGTACTTAAAATTTTTTGGCACGGCTCTGATTGTTTTCTATATGTAAATTTGGGAATTCGGTCTATTAGTTGCACTCTCAAACTCTACAAATACTCAAAAGAAAGACTATTGAGTTAATTAATTAGTATATTCTTTAGTAACTTGACTAAGCATCTATTCTTCCTTTCAAATCCTCAAACAATATGCAATGTGAAAATATATAATTTTGTTTTTTGGTGGACCTTTTCACAAAATACCATTGTGCTTGATACCCAAAAAAAAAAACCCATAAACTTTCAAGAAAACTTGCACAATTTGTGAAATTATATTACAAAGTACTCAACCGTGAATTTGAGTAGTAAATAATTGCGATTGAATAAACCAAGAATGAATTAGATTCAAAAGATATTTGTTTTTGCAATTATAAGATAAGTGCAAGCTCGTTTTAATATTAGATTCAAAAGATATTTGTTTTTGCAATTACAAGAAAAGTGCAAGCTCGTTTTTTAATAAACTAATTAAAACCCTTTTAAAACTAATTCATAACTTTTTTCCTCCAAAGCTTTTGCTACTTCCCCAATTTCCAGCTAGCCGACCATGATCACAGGAGAAGTTGAACCACCGGTGGGAAAAAAGATTGATTCTCAGTCACCGTCGATTTCATCACTTCCAGACGAAATCTTAGAGAATTGTCTCGCACGTATCTCTAAATGGAATTACCCTAATCTCTCTCTGGTGTCTAAAAGGTTCCTCTCACTCCTATCTTCTCCCCATATCTACACTACACGATCTCAAATTGGAACCATAGAACCATGCTTTTATTTCTGCTTAGAGTTGCCTGAGCACCAATCTCCCCAATGGTTCACTCTCTGGATGAAACCTAACGAAACCCTAACTGACAACGACGAGATTTTAAATGACTATACGTTGCTTCCGCTACACTCTTCTTCAAATTCTCCACCTGTACCATATGCTTCCACCGTAGCGGTTGGTTCGGAGATCTACCTAATCGGTGCACCCTTTAAATCGACACCGTCTTCAGCTGTTCGTATCCTTGATTGTCGGAGTCACACGTGGCGTGATGGCCCCAGCATGAAGGTGGCTCGGGGTGAGGCGACTGCGGTTTATCTCGATGGGAAAATATATGTAATGGGAGGTTACGAGGAAGACTACGAGTCCATGGCTTGGATGGAAGTATTGGACATAAAGACTCAGACTTGGAGTTTCTTGGCGAGCAATGGAGCCGACGAGTTACGTTGCGACGATCGGTGTCTTTCAATGAGTGTGCTCCAAGGAAAGATTTATGCAATGGATCATCAAAAGATACATGGGAAGTTGTATGCTTATGATCCCAAAAAAGATACATTGGAAGTTGTAGAAACGCTCTCAAGAAGCACATTGATATATGCTTGGTGTGTGATAGAGAATGTAATGTATTGTTATACAGCCTCAAATTCTTGCATGTGGTATGACTCGAAGAGTAGAAAGTGGAGAGAGGTCAAGGGTTCGAATTTGAAAGTATTACTTGAGAGCCGCACACGTTGCTTATCACGGGTGTGTGTGGTTGATTTATTTAACTGTGGTGGGAAACTTTTAGTTGTGTGGATGGCCAGAGTTCACGGAGATGAGACAAAACAGAAAAGGAGAATCAAGTGCACAAAGATGGCGTTGGAGAAGCGCCATGGAGGTGAGGTTTGGGTTAAGATGGAATGGGATAATACTCTTCATACGGTTCCCTTGTCGGTTGATGACATCTTGAGTTGTGTAGTGGTTTCGATTTGATGAGTCCTAAAAGATGGTTTATATGAATAATTTCTTAGTTGAGTCGCTGATTTTTTTTTATGCTTTGACTTTATCAAAATCTTTCTCTGGTTGTTTAATTACATTCGTTTTTGTGCCAATTAAAGTTAGATAAAAAATTTATCATTTGTTGGAGACATTTCTTCAAATCTACTAGAGCCAAAAACTACACTCAAATGAGCTAATTTTACACCTTTTTTAGTTTCACGTAAATTACATACATACTGCAACCGAAGATGAAGTACTTTCTTCACATGAAAACTTTCTTTGCAGTATTGGACATAAAGACTCAGACTTGGAGTTCCTTGCCGAGCCATGGAGGCTGGAGCCGACAAGGCGACGAGTTACGTAGCAATCTGCGGTTTACAATCAATGTACATGGATAGATATGAGTGGTGTCTCATAGACAGGGCCGGCCCAAGGGTAAAGCCCGTAAAGCATGGGCTTTAGGCAGCAGATGTCTATAAAAGAATTTAGGGGCATCATTTTATAGATATTTATTGTGGTAGAGTGGTTATCACCCTCACTCTCTCTATAGAGCTGTCGAGTTCAATCCTTCTCAGCGTACTTTTTATATAAATTTTTTTTAATTGTATTTAATGATGGGCCAAAATTTTTTTTAGCTTTAGGCATCATTTTACCTTGGACCGGTACTGCTCATAGAAAATGTAATGTTTTGTTATACAAGCTCCGGTTATTACATTTGGTATATGCCTCAAAGAGTAGAGAGTGGAGAACGAGGTCAAGGGTTCGAATTTGGTGTGTGCTTGAAATGCTTAATTATAACAAATCTGTTAAAACAGAGAAGAAACAGAGCCAGGATTTAAAAGCAGTTCATGGGACTTGTAGTCTTGTAGAGGCAACAAGTTGTCAGTTTTTGCCTGTGTTTGAGAAATTGATTTGCTGATTTGGGTCTAGGCACGTCGAGTAGAAGAGTGATAAGATAACATTTCAACTAAGAGCAAGAGCAATGAAATATGGCTAATTAACCAAACTTAACAAATAACGAACCCATTAAAAAACGTAACAAATCTTATCATTTATAAATTATTAATTTAAAAAATTAGTCATGTTGATGAAAAATAATTGACTTAATTTTACATTTTATTTTTTTATTAAGTGATTTTATAAAGACCTAATCATATAGAGTTAACCCTAATTTATATCATCTTCCCTCTCCATCGCGTCTACTACGATTCGGGTCGACAATGGCCCCCGAAGTAGCTGAAAAGAAAAAGAAGATTCATCAGCCAGTGTCGATTTCGTCATTACCAGACGAAATCACAGAGAACATTCTTGCCCGTATCTCGAGATGGAATTACCCTTCACTCTCTCTCGTCTCCAAGAGCTTCCGCTCTCTTCTATCTTCTACGCAACTCTACAAGACGCGATCTCAAATCGGAACTAACGAAACATGTGTCTATATCTGTTTACAGTTGCCCAATCACCCTTGTCCGAGCTGGTTTAGTCTTCGTGCGAAACCTAACCAAACCCTAACCAAACAGAGAGGGGAGCTGCTTA